GTTGAGGTTCAACAACCCAAAATAAATGAGAAGGGTTGCTATTTATAGTAGCCTTTAATGTGGCACTGTTCAGATACTGTTCATCCGTCTTGTCGTACAGTGTTCCTGCGGGACAGTCCGGCGCTTTTCTGACAGCATTAAATGCGATTTGAGGTTTTCCTCATCATTAGGTGGCAGGCATTTAATGCTGACAGGCTTTATGTCTTAGCTAGGAGGAGTAGGTCTGCAGGTTATGATGTCCTATCCATTTAGCCAATGATTGCCCTCCAAGTGGCATTATTATACCATTATAGAGACCGGCATTCTCCGTCGTAGTGACCCGCTCTGGGACCCCAAGTCGGCACCTCGGCATCTGACTTTCATCTGTTCCCTTGGTCCTGGGGAATCTTTCTTTCAGTCCGTCGTTTCTCAGCCCGGCATCCGCGGCGTCGTAATTAAGGATACCGAACTGACGAATGGTCTCACGGCGATGTCAGGATCAAAAAGTTTTCCGGTTCAGCTCGGCACTTTACGGGTAGACCGGGTCTCCGGTTCGGCTCTTGGAATTGTGCTCCGGCTCGGTCTCATGGGCGAACTCGGATATCAACACATGTTTTATGTAAATTTGCACAATTTAAATTTTATAGGTAAAATGCATTACATGTATATTTCATATTTTAACTTTATAAATATTATATAATGAGCATATTTAATTTATAAATATTAATTAATATTTCTTACCCGTGCACCGCACGGGATTCATACTAGTATTTTCAAAAGAGACAAATCCTAAAAATCAAACTAATATTTTTGGTGAACAAACTAATATTTTAGGATTGGTGAACAAACTAATATTTTAGGATTTCTAAGATTTGTCTCTTTTTGGTGAACAAACTAATATTTTAGGATTGGTTATATGAATAAGGCTACCTGTTTTTGGTGTTCTTTTCATTCATTTTCATTCAAACGATCCGATGACTTGTATAATGAAATCCAAATCTTAAGCCGAAATATTTAAAAAAAGAGTTTTTAAAAATTGAAAAGTCAAGGCAATCAGTTTAGATTAATTAAAGGTCAAAGAATATCCGCTCCTTGAAATAAAGACGTGTGCCATCATTAACCAAATATCCGGTTATTGATATAGAGTGGTTACAAAAAAATAGAACGCGATAAGGACGCTTCATGGAAATATCAATGAGATAAGGTCATAACAGATTGTTATACATTTTAACGATAAAAGCTCAGATGAAATGATTTATGATAATTATGTTGTAATTAATGAATTAATTAGATGTGTGAAAATGATATAATTAATGAGAAGTGTGAAAATGACATAATTAATGAGAGTGTGAAAAGGACATAATTAATGAGAAGTGTGAAAATGACATAATTAATGAGAAGTGTGAAAAAGACATAATTAATGAGAAGTGTGAAAAGGACAAAAACTTACCAGTTTTGGAAAATACTTAATGCAAATCCGACATTTGACCATAATTTGACCTACTATTTTAGATAAATGTTAATTCTTATTATATAAGTATAGATTACAATTGTTTTTTATTTTACTGGCTGATGAAAAAAAGGTAGAAATTAGAAGAAGTCTTCGTTGTGAAGAAAACTCGAATTCTCCTGATTATTGTAATCGGATTCTGTGCACTAAAAGTGAGAAATAAATTATGCTACAGATAATTGCAAAACTAGTACAGAGCCCGTGCGATGCACGGGGTGCACAATTTTAAGGCTATTTATTCAGGCTTATAATTATATACTTAAGGCTATTTATTCAGGCTTATAATTATATACATGAATAAAGAAAAATGTACGGATATATATAGTACGTGACCCGTGCAAAGCACGAGATATATTTATTTGGAAATATTATATTATAAGATGCAATATCCAATAAAAGTTTATAATACGCAAGAAAATTGTACAATGTTCAATAAAAGTTTTATAATATTCAAGTGGAGTATTAAAGTCTCTTGTACATTAAGACTACTCACAAAATAATATTTTAATCAATGAGTTTCCTTTCCTTGTAGCCAAATTGTCGATATATAGCTGACTTGCTTTGTTCATTGTAGTTTTTTTTCTTTTTTTTTTATAATGAATTTAAAGATATTCTAAAATACAGCAAAAATTATTTTTTTTATTAATTAGGAATTTTACTAAATATAAACTCTCAATATATGGTGTTAATCAACGTTTAAGTCTACAAAATTAGGAATTTTTACCTCTTTTAATCAATGTTTAAGTGTAAAAAACAATAGAGTTATTATAAGTTTTTTCTACATCTTTTAAAACATTAAATATGAGCATGTTAGGGCTAGCTTGTAAAATAATTAATATATTATCTCACTAAAATATTTATACTAATAAACATTTAATTTTAGCATATAACTTTATCCCTTGATATAAGAGAAAGTAACAGTTTTACTTATTGTTGTCACCATATAATATTTAATTATTATTTTATTATATAATAAAAAAGAAATATTGTTAAATAGTGTAGTAGAATTGTTATAAAATTATATGATTTTTTTTTACAATATGGATTTAATATTTTTTTTATGATTTGATAATATAAACAAATCTATACTTAACTTTGACAAATAAAACAAATAAGTACTTTAATAAGTATTTAATGTATATACTAAATAGGAATATATTTGGTATAGTCGAATATCAAATATAATCAAATAAGTCAAAGTGTACATTTTTATTTCGTATTTGATTTTTTTATTATTAAAATCTTTTTATTATACTTACCTTTTTAAAATAAAATAAATAAATAAATCAATTAATAAATAAAATATTATAATACCAAAATAGTAATGACATTTAATGCAGTTGACTTTTCTGGATAGTATATGTAGTAAATAGAATCTCCTTTTATATAAGTATAGATTGTATAATATGGAAATAGTAATGCAATAAATGTTGTTGATTTTTTTTTTATACTAAATCTTAAATGGTATACTTTTTAATATAAGTATAGATACGAGAAATGCATGTTTTCTTTTCCTTTTTGTCCTGTATTTTGTAATGAAATTTTCTTACATAAAGTTTTTGTCTTCTTGTCCAAAATTTTTAGTTCTAATAATTAACTGCCACAAAATTTCATGTCAGAATCCCTTCATTTAATCCTTTGTCTCATCGATCAGACATAAAATAATGTGTTTAAAACTCGGATAAAACTAAAAAGGCTTCTATTCTGTTAGTATACTAGATTTTAACTTTTAAGTGCATTGAGGCTATTTAAGCATTCATCTGTACACTATTCGTCATCTAAAAACATAGTACCAAATTAATTATTTCAATTTATCATTTATTTTGATCAAATTATACACTCCACTAAGTAACATTTTTTTCCCTGATTGGTGTTGTTTTATTAAAAAAAAAACATCAGTAATGGTAACAATTTTGGTATGTACAAAAGCTTTGTTTTGTCGTTTAGCTGATCAAGTAAACCTTTTCTGCTAACGTCATAAGCAACAACTACATCTGCTCCATTCTCAACTCAGCCCATGCAAAATCAATTATTTTTCCTGACCACGAAAAATAAATGCGAGAAAAAAAATGCTAAACCAAAAAAAGAGGCTAAAAGACAAATGAAAGTATAATTTCGTATTAAAAGAGGCTAAAAGACAAATCTATATATATATAATAAGAATTACTATTTACTAAATAGAGTAAACAAAAAAATCTGGCAACACTATTTGCATAACATTTCAGGCAAGTTTTGTTTTTATTTTTTATTTATTAAAAGAGAAACATTTAAATATGCCTTCAATCACGGATACTTAGTTTTGGTAACCAAATTGCTCAATTTTGGTACAAATAATACTAATAAAAAATTGTGTTTTATTTCAATACCATTTTCTTTTATAATTAATTGATATCAACATTCATTAATTTGGGCAAAAAAAAAACTTGCAGGATCATAACCCATAAATTGTGTGCAATTCATCAAAATCAATGATATCACATAATTAATTGTCAGATTTGTATGTTTTCAGCCGAATTGAGTTTTAAAAGAAAAAAATCATTTGGACGCCAAAAAATTTTTGTGTAACAAAATAATTTTGCCGATAAAAAAAATAACAACTCTACCGACACACACTCAAATTCTAAGAGTTCTTTTGACTAATCGTAAACACCCAAAAAATCCGAACATAAAAGTACAAAAATCGAAGATAAAAACCTTAAAATTAAAAATTTCACATTTCTTTTTACTAAAATTAACAAAATCTACAGGGGCAAATTCAAATTCAAAGGATTCTTTTGATTAATTGTAAAAACCAAAAAATTCGAACATAAAACTACAAAAATCGAAAATAAAACCCCTCAAATTGAGCAATCCATATTTTGTTTAGTGCAAAACACCTAAAACTAATTTAAGGCATCGATTAAATGAAAACTAAAAAAGAATATGTATTTATAAGAGCCTCAGTGTTAGAACGAAAAAGTTGAAAGAAGATCGATGAAAAAAGACGAAAGAAGAAACTGGAAGCGGCGAAAAATGAAGGAAGAAATGAAGCCCTTGGTCCGATAATTTCACTATTTATACTTTGTTCAGCATAATCTAAACCGTCGAAGCCAACATTATAAATTTGGCCGATATGAAATTTTTGAAGCTCACATTTTTAAAAAACATTCCTATTTTACAAGCCCAACATGATTAATATTAATAATTACACGTATCTTATAATAAGTACTTATTAAATTTAATTATAATCAATGATCGATGCTTTATTATATATATTGAATATAAATACAAAATTACCTTTTAAAAAGGACGAAAATAACAAAGCTCCGTGCATCGCACGGGTGCTGTACTAGTAAAAGACAAATGAAAGTAT